CTTTTACTAATACTTTATATAAAAAGTTTTTATAGTTTATTTAGTTTTATAAAACTTTATATTATATAGCTAAATAACTAAAGTAAAAACAAAACTTAGCTTTTTACTTTAAAATCTATATTAGATAGTTACTCTAAAGTATAAATAAGCACTACTAAAATATTTTATAAAGTTAATTAGAGTTTAGGAGTATAGTAATAGCTATATTAGAGTTAAAAGTTTTTGTATCTATATATCTAAACGTAGTTAACACTAGACAGTAGTATAATAATATTATTAATAATTGTTTCTATAAAAAGAGGTATTAGACTATAGTTTTAGTAATACTAGTAGGTAGAGAACTAGATTTTAAGGTAGTAATAGAATATACGTTCTAATATGTAACACTATACTCTTAGAAATCTTTTTTCTTAGTATATTATATACAGCCTTATTAACGCTACCAAACTTATAGATATCTAAGAAGATTGCTTTTAATACGCTAAGGCAGGGGTGACAAGACTAAGCTTGTCTGCTAGCGAAAGAGTGCATCTTAAAAGAAGTAGCACTAACTATGCAGTGCATTCAGAGAGTCATCAATCGCTTATCCGATTGTGTACGCATTTCTGATGTCGTAAGCGTTCAAACGAATAGGGTTTTTGCGGTCTCGGAATTCGTTCTGCGCCTATCTTCAGATGCAACAAGCAGTTTAATTCTTCACATCGGCATTGGACTAATACCAGATAGCTAGGTATTCCCACCGATCACGACCGGTATGTAAGATCATCTCGACACGTAGCTGCCAGCACTAAGCTTGTTCTCAACCCTGATTCGGAAGTCGAGCGCCTTTGTCGAGATATTCCTCCCAATAGCTTTTCTGACCTGCGTATTAACGCTGAACGCCACTGGCGAAACGATCCATAGACAATTGTCTCGCGGTGCGAGACTCTAGAGCACTTGTGGCTATAATCAACATCACACAAGTACTGGAGAAACTGCTCAATCATATTGTTGAATGCAACTGCGATAGTCCTTTGCACGACGTCTCCGTAGCACGCTCGGAACGATGGCAAAATGTTGCCGTAAACCAACTTTTCAGATGCGGCAAACCAGGAGCGCCTAAATCTTCCGTCTTCATTAGAGATATAGACAAGATCATAATTGATGTAGCCGGCGAAGGTGCGTGCCGTGTCTACACTGCGGGTCTTCTTTCCTGCCGGAAGCTAGCGATTTGCAAAGACTGTGTTTCCTGTGCACTCCAAGCGACAAGAGCAAAGGGAAAGAATGTCAATGCGCAAAGTAAAGCCCTTGTTGTAAGGTGATACAGAGTAGACCACTTAAAAAGCTGTAGAGTTACAGATTCAAGCTGTTCACGAGTAGTAAGAGTCTTAGGTCATCTATTGTACTTTATCTAACCGTTGCTTCAAGGGGCAAAGTGTCATGTTAAGCAGCAGCGTAGTTCGTGGCCTCTATTTTGTGGCGACGATAAGACAACCAACTATAAAGTGGTGGTGTAGTAAGGTTTGAATAGACAGTGATAGATGGCAAAGAGCATAGTCGAACCGCACAAGTTACAAGGTTGCTACAAACGTTCGCACGAGTTAGTGTTACAAAGAGATAGTAACACAGATTCACTACTACTCAACTATTACAGTATATAGCCTAGCTATATCGTAAAGGTTGAATGATATCAAGCTTCAGAAAGTAGTATCAAAGCCAGTCCTAGCACTCAGTCTACTCTAGACTAATTACATCTAGCACAATAGATATGTAAATTCTAGTTTTCACGTACGAAGTCGACCTTTGGGCTTATAGGAACCATCTCGACAAGATAGCCATCCGGATCTCTTACAAACGCTAATTCTGCACAAGCGTCCCACAGCAGCTTGTCTTGTCCTTTATCAATTGGTTCGCATCCCAGGAACGACGCAGCGACCTCTGAGGTATCAGCTGCACTAGCTTCTTTGACAATGTTAACGTTATACTTCTTAAACGATCCATAGCCGCATCCATGTCGGGAACAGTGATACATAGCTTGACCAATGATGAATTGAAACCATAGCTAGTCGCTGCCGTGGTGCCTTTCGCGCTCGGTAAGGATTGAAAATGAGCTCAAGCCTTTAGGGTGGGTTTCGTAGTGTTTAGTCATACCTTTGCTAAGACAAGTTCCAACACGCCCTCCCGTGCGAGGACAGGAACGCTCGGGTCTGCTGAGTCCGCATATCTAAGAAGCACAATTGTAACCGTGTCCAGGTCCATGCGAGATAGTTCTTTCATTGCAAATTTGTCGGAGTAGAAATCAATTGACTTGTCAAGATCTGCCACTCGAAAACCGACGTGGTTGAAATCAAAACCCTTAGTAGGTTGCCTGAATGCCATCTTTTGCGGATTTGATTAACGTGCAACGAATGTTTTATTTGTTTGCTAGACTGAACTATTTTGATATTGTTTTTATATTGTATCCAGAATCGACTTTCGTCCGTCCTACTCCTTTTATCACTAATACTCGACAAGCATTCAGTTCTGGTACCTACCAAACACCAAATGCACGAATGGATACCTGCAAGAAGCTCAGATAACATGACTCCAGATCGCTAGACTAGGTATGTTAGCGCCGGCAGGAGGTTCACTCCGCTCCCGTTAAAAGCTCTCACTCCACTTCCGTTAGCTCCTAGATTATGAACGTATGAGAGTCATACTCTTTATCCTTAAGTTTGTAATATTCTCATTCTCTTGTACATATGAATAGCCCTTATCTTGTTCTCACTATCGAAAGGGCGTCCGCATTGAGTTTCTCGAAATGAATGTTCTGGCCATCATGTACTTGGAACACCCGGTCGGCAACAGAAGATTAGTCGACCCTGTAACAATAACAAGCAACCGCTTTGTCAGAGGCGCAAGACCTGGTGTAACTGAACGGGAAAGACTAGTAGATTTTGGCGCGAAAGCATCGCATTTCTTCATATCGCATCAGTACTGCAGTAAAGATTGGTAAGCCGTAGTCTTGTCTAGCGTAAGCAGAGCTCAAGCCATGACCAAGACCATGACTAGCAACTCTCTTTCGAGGTGACTCAGCCCCGGATTGTGATATCAGAAGGTTACAGTGAGGTCGTAAGCATTATTCATTTCTATGTTTCATGTCGTAACTTTTCTGTCGGAGGAGACGCAGCCAGATGAAAAGTTCTATACCTCCTTCTTGGGAACACCACCAGGCAGAGTCTGTACCTTCTCCTGGAATAGCTTCTCTGCGCCTTGCCAGACTGGCGTGGTCGATCGGTCCTTGAGGGCCATCAGGCTGGGCAGCAGAGCATTGCTGAAAGCCTCTGATGATTCGCGGGGTAGGGCAGACGGAAGGTGGTCGATGGAGATGACGGACAGCTTGGGACCATTACCCTCGACAGAGACGTCAACTGTGGGCTTGTCAAAGGTAGTGTTGATATCGTAGATGGGAATAGGGTTGTGGGGGTTGGTGGTGTCACATGAAACATCGCAGACGACGCTGAGTCTGCGGTCTGGTGACTTGAGGCTCTCCTTGTTGACAAAGGGTGGAATGGGCTTGGAGAGGTAGATGCAGTTGACGAAGATGTCCGACTCGACAATCTCTGGGTAAGGACCGTCACGCTCCTTGGTCTCAGCCAGATCCCACTTCTTAATCTCGGGGCAGCCGATCTTCTCGAGCAGGTCGACAGCACCAGAACCACATCGTCCAAGGGCGCCTAGTACCAGACTAGTGGGCTTGTGACCAGCAACCTTCTCGCCGGCTGCGACATCCTCCTTCAGCTGGGTGATCAACTCGCTCTCGTTGTTGTAGTATCCGCGGCCTTCGGTGAAGGTTTCGAGACCTGGCAGAGGTTCGCCGTTGGGGTGGGTGAGCTGCCATGCCCATGTCTGACAGAAGTTAGTATGGGGGTAACAGCATGGTTCCTTCCTGGACGTACCTTGATGGCTAGAGCGGCTCCAACGAAACCGGCGTGGTAACCAAAGGCAGCAACGCGCCTGCCTGACTCATCCTGCAAAAACTCGAGGTCATACAGGGTGCCTCCTCCGCGGGGGAACCTGGCCAAGACCTTCTCCCAGCCGCCCTGCTGCTTGTAGCAGTGTGCAAAGTGTACAAAAGTTTGCTCGAGGGGGAATTCGTCTTCGGGAAGTTCCTTCAAACCGATGATGATGCGGTTGTCCTTGGGCGCGTTCTTGTATGCGCCCTCCTCGATGAGGGTTGCGCCTGCCTGTTCGAACTCCTCGTCTTTGAAGATGCGGGCATAGTTGGGGTCTTTGGGTGAGCGCTCGACAAGCACGGGGTAGCCAGCATCGAGCAGCTTCTTGGCGGTGGTGGGAGTGAGGCTGCGGGCATTGGTGAGTAATGTACATGCGCGGAGTTTATGTGTATACCTACCACGAGCGATGCTCGAGAGGTTTGGCCTCTGCGCGGGCATGGAGTGTGGGGAAGGACATTGTGTGCAACGGGCAATTGGAAGCGTGTCTTGTCGGTTCAGGACTGAAGGAGAAATTCAAGATAGATATTTGTTTGCTTCTTGCAGTGCTGGAGAGTCTAACGGAGATCGGAGTATTGACAATGGTCGGCGCGGACTGAAGCAGCCCACGATGACTCCATGGCCAATTTGGCCGGAGGCTCCAAAATCGAGCTCCGAGAACGGCGCTACTGCAGGGCTGCTGCCGTTGATGCTAGCCATTCAGCGGCGCCGCGATGACATAGCCAGATGTGAGCCGTCTGGGTCTTGGGGCGGGTGCAGCAGCAGGACATTAGTGGGGCACGTGCATTGCTCCATGGGCGCTGGGCCGACATTGGAAGCTAGGTAGGATTCTCTGCCGGCGTTGAAAATGACCTGCTGCTACACGACGTCCATGCTTTTCTCTCGCCCATCCTGCCTCGGGAGCGCTATGCTTCACGCTGAGAAAAGCTCGCTGTGCCTGTGCCTGTGCCGTCCCCCATAGTCGCCTGCTGCTGTCCATAGCACGGCCATCACCCTCACTCCGATTCGCTGCCTTGTCTGTCGCACAGCATGGCTTCACATTCGCGCGACTCCTCAAATGCGAGTGCCCGCCACGCCCACGCTCCTTCGACGCCCAGCCAGCTTCGCCAGGCCCATGTGCCCTCGGACAGGTCCAGCTCGCCCGAGGAAACCATGCATCCCCGCCGCTACTACGACGACGACGAGCCCCAGCCCTCCAGCAGCCAAGCCCCCCACGACCTCGACTTCTCCGCCCAAGGCATTCAGCCTTCGACAGATGCCACGTCAATCCACTCAACCCACGAGAACGTCGCTGCCCCGGGCGGCATCATCGAGATCGATCTCGAGCCCACGGCGCGCACCCGGCTGCTGAACCAGCAGAACTTGGAAGGCTTCAACCGGGGTGATGCGAGGCCGTCGGCGCATCGCAACTACGGCAGCTTTGCGGGCAGCATACACTCGGAACAGAGCTTTGGTGGCGCCTTCCCGGGCATACAGGAGACGCCAGAGGATAGCGAGCCAGACGAGGCGCATGCGCTGCTGGGCGACGCCTTTGCCGACGGCGTCCTGAACAAGAAGAACGGGCAGAAGATGAGCACAACGCGGTGGCTCGCCGAGCGCCATGGTATCAAGGATAAGCGCATGATGTACCTCAAGTACTACATCCCCGTCCTCAACTGGACGCAGCAGTACAAGTGGCGCTACTTCAAGGGCGATCTTGTCGCAGCCATCACCATGGCCTCCTTCTACATTCCTATGGCGCTCTCGTACGCCTCGAACCTCGCCCACTTGCCGCCCGTCCATGGTCTCTACAGCTTCGCCCTGAACCCCCTCATATACGCTGTCCTAGGTACCTGTCCGCAGATGATTGTGGGTCCTGAAGCGCCTGGCTCGCTTCTAATTGGCGAAATCGTGCGTGAAAACATCAAGAAGGGAACCACCGGCGACAACGACGGCAGGCGTAATGCTGAGATTGCTGGCATTGTGACGTGCATGGCTGGTGCTTTCATTCTCATCGCAGGCTTCTTTAGACTTGGCTTCCTGGACAACGTTTTGAGCCGGCCCTTTCTGCGAGGCTTCATCAGCGCTATTGGTGTTGTCATTTTCGTGGATCAGCTCATTCCTCAAATGGGGCTTGCCAGACTGGCTGCTGACCAGGTGTCGCACGGTAGCTGCGTGGACAAGGTCGTTTTCCTCTTCCGCAATATCGGTCGTGCACATGGGCTCACGTGTGCCATGTCCTTTACGGCCTTTTTCATCATCATGTTCTTCAGGTGCGTTCCAAAGTGTCGTCTTTATTCCACCTCAACTGACAAATATGCAGAGAGTTCAAGAAGCGTTTGCAGCCACGATACCCAAATGTCGCATATATCCCCGATCGTTTCGTCGTTGTCGTACTATCTGCTCTGCTTACCTGGAGATACCGTCTAGACCAACAGGAGCTCGCCGTTCTTGGAGACGTAAACTCCAGCGCCAAGATATTCTCCATCCACTTTCCCTTTGAGATGTCGCATCTCAAATACGTATCAGACGCCATCAACACCGCATTGATCATTGCTATGCTTGGTTTCTTCGAGTCTTCGGTTGCCGCCAAGTCCTTGGGTAGTGGTGACCTGAACAAGGATGGTGTTCAGATGCCCCTGAGTGCGAACCGGGAGCTCATCGCCCTGGGAACAGCAAACATCACTGGCGGATTGTTCATGGCACTCCCGGCCTTCGGTGGCTATGGCCGTTCCAAGGTTAACGCATCCACGGGTGGGTTGACTCCTATGAGTTCAGTGCTGCTGTCAATCATCACCATCCTGTGCACTGTCTTCATGCTACCATACTTCTACTACCTGCCCAAAGGCGTTCTTTGCGCCATGGTCTCCGTTGTAGCATATTCGCTTGTCGAAGAAGCACCGCATGATGTCAAGTTCTTCCTCAAGATTCGAGGCTGGTCGGAGCTCATCCTTATGGGTCTTATTTTCTTCATCACCATCATCTGGGACCTGAAGCGGGGTATCGGAGTGGGTATTGGTCTTTCCATCCTACGCTTGATACGTCATTCAGTGCGTCCGCGCATCCAAATCTTGGGTCGTGTGCCAGGAACTACGAACCAATTTTCTAATGCCGAAAATCACTCAGGAGATGTTGAGTTCATTGAAGGGTGTCTCATCGTCAAGATACCAGAACCCCTGACCTTCGCCAATACAGGAAATCTCAAGACCCGTCTCCGCCGCCTCGAGGACCACGGTACTGACAAGGCGCATCCTGCTCTCCCCCGTGTTCGCCGCGCAGAGCACAACAAGAACATCATCTTCGATGTACATGGCGTCACATCGCTCGACGGTGCTGGAGCTCAGGTCCTGGCTGAGATTGTCGAGTCATACAGAAGCAGGGAAGTCAGAGTCTTCTTCTGTAGAGTTCCAAAAGAGTCTAGTCCAGTCTATCAACTGTTCGACAAGAGCGGTATTGTTGAGATGTGCGGCGGTCCAAGGCATTTTGTACAGAGCGTTGAGGAGGCACTTCGCATGACGGAACTAGAGCGATTGACAGAGGAATTTGCCAGCTCCGCAGAAGGGTCGAGAGCTGCATCCAGTCGAGCTTAAGTCTTCCGATGCATTTATCTTTTGTCCTATGAGCGATGGGAATGAGCGTGTTAGCACTGCATCTGATGTTATGGGCGTATTGCATTAGCGATTTGCTACGATTAGACTTGGTATATGTTATTTGAGCATGATTTGGCGTTCTGGTATAGTTATGACACTTGGTGTCAATTACGAAAAGCATGTCTATTCAAGTACCATCGTCCCAAGTTCCCGGTATATTCGACACCCCTCAGGCGTCCCAAAAAATGAGAAAGCATAGCAACTTTGCCGAACATTGCTCCGAACCCGGACCGTCGGTATTACATCTATTTCCGTATGTGCAAGCGCTCGGTACGTCGCGCATGCGATCCATTTCTCCGTTCTCAACATCGTGCCTATGTCGCAATGGAGCGAAGTCGGCTACTAAGTGCACCCGGTTTCTTTTCGAAATCATGGCGGTCTCGCCTTACCTTGATCACAGTTCCGGCCGTGGTCTTGGAAAGATTCCAGATTCTAGATTCCGAATGCGACGTCTCGGGTTCCCCAGGTGCGGGGATAAGTCGGTGTGGAGCAGACATCGCTCGTGCCACTCGCCTAGAACGGTGCCATTTTTCTTCTACGCTATACTGTGCAGACAATGCTCGCGTCACGACGGACACGCAATGCCAGCGAAGCGTACTTTGAACAGTCATCCATAGCATGAACGTTGAACAACACTTCAAACCTTATGTGCTTGCATTATTCTGGCCTCTGGAACGTCCAGCACATCTAAGAAGCAACACCGTTGGACCCTTGGCAGCCCAAGCCTTTGACGTCGACCAAGCTTTTCGGCGGCCTTCAGCAAAGCTTTTCTATGCCGTGGCTTCCTAGCCAAGCGACGCTTATCACCTCTTGACCACTCTTAGCACGCAGTAGCCCCTGTCGTATCGCGCCCCCATGTCGCGTGCTAACCCTCCAAGGATCGTGTTGCCGCCCTCCGCAAGGGTACTATTGGACATCAAAGGCATATGCGGGGTTGCGGGGACGTCATGAGGATGTTGAGGATGCATTCACGGGTGGTCGCATTGGTTGTCAGTAAGCACGCATTCGGCAAGTCGGACGATGATCGGATGCATGCCTGAGGTGATTAAAGAGAGCATGGTGCCCGCAAAAGGCCTTATCTGTTTGACTTCCTGCTAACCATTCTGTAGGAGGCGACGATCTGTTTCGCTCCGCCTCGTTTTCCTGAGCAGTCCGATATCGTCCATTACCACCATGTCGGACGAGAAATACGACACTACTGAGCAGCGTGAGTACGCGCCGCCGGCTCCAAAGATGACGGCTGGTCGCTACATCGCCACGCGTATTCCAACTCTCAAGCCTGCTCACGATAAAGTCGCCAACCCGATCGCCCTACTGCGCTTGCTGAATCTGCAACAATGGCTCTTCTTTCTGGTCGCGTTCTTCGCCTGGACCTGGGATGCCTTTGACTTTTTCACCGTGTCTCTCACTGTCACGGATCTTGCCGAAACATTCGGAAAGACCAAGGCCGACATCACTTGGGGTATCACGCTGGTGCTCATGTTGCGCAGTGTGGGTAGTATCATCTTTGGTCTGGCGGCGGATCGCTATGGCAGAAAATGGCCTTTCATCGTCAATAATGTGCTCTTTATCATCCTCGAGCTTGGTACCGGATTTTGCTCCACCTACAATGAGTTCCTAGGAGTGAGAGCTCTGTTCGGCATTGCCATGGGTGGATTGTATGGTAACGCTGCTGCGACTGGTACATATCATCTCCCTCGTTCGAACCGTCTAGTCGACTAACACAACTGCAGCTCTTGAAGACTGTCCTCAGAGTTGCTATCAGTCAATCAGTCAGTTGTCAGTTCATCTTTGCGGTTCAAACTGTCAGTCTGGAGGTAGTGAACTGACCTGATTGACTGCCAAGACATTTTTTAGAATCGCGAACTGAGACTG